ACAGATTATAGTAGTACGGAATTTTCTACTCCCATAACTGCTGCACGAACAAAATAATCATATCAATTCCTATACAAGTAATACAAAACAAAATGTTATGTAACATTAGCGTTTGTAAAGTATTGGGCACATAGAATATTTTAAACAGGAAAGATTAGCATATGATGAGAATAGGATTTAAATAAGGGCAACCACATCATTCAAGATCCCAATATGAAACTAAATTGTTGCCTAATGATATATAAAGTTAATATTCTTCCAAAATCCTTTATTCTGAGACAATAATCACTTTTATTTTTGACAGCAAAAAATGAAATTGTATTAATGTGACCAAAGGTTCACATTGATGACACTGCAGTAACACATACCATAATCTTAGACTATATAAAACATCCTTTTATAAATTTATGTACTTCTAGACTTAGATTTTTAGAATTAGATTTCTAGGGTAGCAAATAATTTGAAATGCATTTTTGAAAATGAGAAACTCTTAACTACTCCTTTACATTCATTAAAATGTTCCAATCATTCATAAAACCAAATACTGTAGGCAGAATCTTTGTTATTACTCTTACTTTATCTTTCAGTCCAAAATGTGACTACAATGAACAAAGACTATTAAACGAGAAGGGACATTTTTATACTAACATTCTTTAATCTTTAAAAATCATAGAAAATCTCTACATGATTCATTCTTAACACAAAATTAAATCAGCATTTTTAGTAAATTAATCATGGCATTACCACTGATATTAAATGATACATTCTCTGAAGTACAAACAAATATTTTTATGGCTCTTACATTACAAAGTACTTTCTAAATTTCACTGCCATTAGCAGCAGTGTGTGTAGCTTTGATGTGTACTGTGTGACCTTTACCAATAGGTAGGTATGAGTATTTTGTATTGGAGGGAGGAGTACTAATTTCATAGAGATGAAATTTCAGTAGTATTGTTTTAATATGAGTTTTAATAATTATTATTGTTAAATGCCTTAAAATATGTGCTAATCACATTTCCTACTATGTGGATTCTCTTTGAGGAAGTGTGTAGTTTTTAAACTCAAAAATTAACATGTGTTTTTAATACTTCATTGAGAAAACAACCCCATATCAAATGAATTTCCCAATGTAAACTATTTTTCTTTCTCATTGGACTTTGTTTTGTGCAGTGTATAAGTTTAATATTTTTATATTATTAAACACGTTGTGTTTTCTGATATGATATTTGCTCTACCACTTCGAAGCCCATATAATGATCCTACAAATGTCTCACAAATATGCAACTTCTCTCATAATTAAAAAAATATTCATTTATACACCTGAAATACATTTTCTTCATGTCATGAGATGTGAATCTCAATTACTTGTTTTTCTAATTAGCTGATAATACAATCATTTATTTTAAAAATCCTCTTTCTTATTGTTTAGTAATACTGATTTTCAAATATGTATTAAATTGTTGTATGTAACATGTTGGGATTTTCTATGCTTTTCTACACACAGCACATTAGGATAAACTTTAGTTATATATATATTTTACTATAAATTGATATCAGGAATGGCTTTTCAATATTTATGAATTCTTTAAAAAATCTCCCTTTTTTCTCACCAGCTAATTACTCCAAGTAAATTTTTCTTTTTGTTTCACTTTTTAAGAAGATCTAGTTGAGGATTATTTTATTGAGAACATATATATAAATTAATCTGGAAAGTATTAATAGCTTTTATATGAATTTATATATGGAAATATAATGTACTTCATTAATTAATTCTTCTTATATCAGAAGATAATATTGTAAAGATATATCCAACATTACATAATTCATGAGCAAAATGAAATAGTAGGAAAAGTAAACACTAAGAAGTAAATCATGCATTTATGAGAAATGATAGAAAAATACAGTGAATGTATAAATTCAAAAGATTATTACAGAAAAAGATACATTGTCATCAATCTCCTTCAGAAAACTGCATTCCAAGCACCCTTGTCTCATTGCTTTTGCCACCATGAAGCAGGGCTGTGCGTCCTTTTAAGAGACTTCACCTGTGCTGTTGTGGCTGCCCCGACATCCTGAATGGATTCAAAATGATTACCTTTCAAGGTCGTGTGGACTGTGCGGAAGAGTGAGAAGTTGCACGGTGCCAGGGTTGGTAAATAAAGCAGGCAAGGTTGCAGCAGAACGATTTCACCAGCTTCCCTTGCCACTGACTGGTACTTCCACAGTAACATTTACTATGTTTTGGATCACACGTCATGAAGCCACTCATGAAGGAGGACTTCAGAACTGCTTCAGAAAACGGCCACAATGGTGGGATAAGAGTGTTTAAAGTGAAAGGGATGTTGTGATGGGAATGTATCTTGTTCTACAATGAAGCTTCCAAAATGTAATCATTCACTATTTATTTTGATCACATCATATATATCTAGGCTCGAGTTCCATGTGATCCTAGGCAAGAATCTTAGCCTCTGTAAGGCTCTGTTATCAATGAAACAGAGTTTGTACGTTTGTACCCCAAAAATGCTAGCTACGATCCTAATTTTCAATACAGCATGTGCCCAGTGTCAAGACATTTTACAAATTTCTTTCATTTATATCATTGCATTTGCTCTGCTTGATCTTTTCAAAGCTCTGTGAGAGGATGGAGAGATTGAAGGGAGGGGAGGACAATTGGGGAAAAATAAGAAACAATACAGATTATGTAAAGGTATAAATTTCTAACGATGAATGTCATTATATTGTATATTTAAAATGTACCAATAAAATTAATGTAAAAAAAACAAGAAGAAAGTGGCAAGAGTGATGGGTCAAGTATTCTCAAAGCAAAGGAGAATATTTGAGGGGGATGGGTAACGAAAGAAATGAATTAAGATGTATTGTGTGCATGTACTAACTCCCTCTGCTAAATGAAACCACTATGTACTACAAATATATACCAATAAATAAAAACATTTACGGTAATAAAAAATTTAAAAATAAAAAAAAATCAAAGAGCAAACGTATCTTCCTTTGAATAAAAAACACAAACTTGACTGGGTAGGGTGGTGCACTCTTGTAATCCCAACACTTAGGAGGGTGAGGCAGGATGATTGCCTCAGTTACACAGTGAGTTGACTGCCAGCCTGTTCTATACTCTGTAGAGCAAGACCTCAAAAAAAAACACCCTAAAAAATAAATAAATAAAATTCTAAAAAAAAAATCCCATTTTATATCATGATACATGTAGAATAGTCTATGATTTTTCAGCCATAATAGTTATAATTGCCAATTCATCATATTTTTAATTAGTTGTGATTACTTCAAGGAATACTATTGATTCCTTTTTGTTTTTGTTTTTGTTTTTTGGTGCTGAGGATCAAACTTGGTACTTGTGCTTGTGTGGCAGGTGGATGAACCACTGAGCCAAATCCTTGGCCCTGATTCTATTACATTTATCGCACACTAAACAGTTACTAAGCTCTTTGCTACCTTTTTGTTTGTGTATGCTAGTGAGGACTGAAATCAGGACCTTCACACTGAGCTACATCCTCCACCTTTTTTAATTTTAATTTTTAATTTTGTGACAGGGTCTTGCTAAGATGCTAAGTTGTCCATGCTGGGCTCATATTTACAACCCTCCTGCTTCAGCTTCCCAGGGTGTTGGGATTATAGGCACATACCACCACAGTCTGCTTTTTTACTGCCTCTTAAGAAAAGGTTTAACTCATTTGGAATTTTTTCTATTTTTTGGTTGTCAAAGTTTCCAATATACAGTTGGTGTTCTAACTATATTATATTACATTCATAGTATTAATAATTTTCACTTATAAATTTATGTATATTTATTATTTAGAATTAATTAAGAACAATAGTATTAATAATATCAACTAACAAAAAAAGACCAGCTGACATGTTACAGACTGACTTGTTAAAATCTTCCTGTTATGGCTTGTGTTTAAGTGTCCCCCATAGTCTCTCACAGATAAGGTGGGCCTTTCTCCTGTAGAGATGGCTGAATCAGGAATTTCTGATACTGGGTTAAGGGCATGTAATGAATAAACCACTACAAGTGAGTGATTGGTTTGGCACGGCCCTAATCCCAGTAATCTGAATAAAACAAAGGGACAGAAAGATGTCCTTAAGGCCCCTTGGCTTCTGCTGCTTTGCGTGCTCCCTGCTGTTTGTTGCTCCTTTGCGATGCCTGTTTGCCATCCCTGCCTTGGCACCAGCCCACTATGGCCTGAAACCTCTACGGACTGTTAGCTAAGTAAACCCCTTCCCCTTTAACTTTGGGTGCTATTTTTGTAGCTAGAGAGAAAAGTAACACACTTTCCCGTTTAGGAAACATAAATTCAAAATAATGATTTAGTTACCTTGAATTAGTTCCCCTTAGCTTACAGAATGCATTAACTTGAGGATAGTCCAAGTCAATCCTTTACACCTCATAGTACTTTGGATGATTGAAAAGCTAACCTCATAGTGTGGTAGGAAAAGGAACCAAAGGGAAAATACTTCTTTCCTAGGTGGGCTCTTCCTTGGGGAAGACCGTGATGAGCAAGGAAGAGGCCTTGGGCTGCACATCTGAGAGAGTTTTGCTGCTTTCACATCTCTCATTAAATCACAGCTGCCTGAACAATTTCTCATAACCTACATCTTCCACTGTTAAATACAACCCCTCCCCCCAGGACATAACTTCACTTATGAAATTTAAAAAAATTGAATTATTCAATCTTTCCTAAACTATTCCCTGGGCACTGGATGCTTTCTTGAAAAAGTAGAAATAATAAAATGTCCATTTTCATGAAATCAGTTGGCTAGCATAATAAGAAATTCACACCACAGCTGTCTGAATAAATAGAATCCATTAAAAAATATTTCATTTTTAGCTCATTGTTGTATTTGATTAGAACGATTTTTTTAAATGTAGGAAGGAATAAGTAAAAAGCAGAAATGACCGAGATAACCCTATTCTTTCCGCGGCGGAAGCCGAGCGTTGGCTCCCGCTACGTTCCAGTACTCACGGGGGAAGCAGCTGGAAGTGGACGGATTGACACTGTCCCCGCTGTCAGCGCTTTCGCTGCTGGAAACTTCATCATCTGATTCCCGCACAGAGGAGCAGGGCGAGGAGCCGTCAACTTCTTCAAACTTCCTCTTTAAAATTCCACTCATAGCTGCAGCGCTGTCACATGTACCTGTAACAGGAACGGGAGCAACGGAGCATTGAAATATTTGACCGCTGAATGTGTAGCCAAGGTCTCCAGAGTCATTTTTATATGGCTTTTTATACATGAGCTGAGCTGCGGCTTTCTTTTGAAAGGATCGCTAAGCAGATCTTTTTTTTTTTTCTGTTTATTTTCAAATTAACAAAAACCAAATGAAATTAAATAAAAAGATCTGACCATCTGTTTACCAAAACATTTCTTTTTATTTTTTTAGACATGGTTCAATTTCATATAACACCATTCCCATTTGTCGACAAATTGAGAAAATCCACCTGAGCCCATGAAATTCTGTAAAGAAAATGGAAATCAGTGTCCCCCAGACCTAAATGATTACTGCAATGTAGAAAATCACCTGGAAGAAATGATCAAAACAAGTATGTAAAAACCTTACATTTAAGTTTTAAAATTCAAGAAACATAATTAGCACTTGAAATGTATGTATAATAAAGCATTTGAAATCTCAATTTTAAGTCATTTTTATTTCACTATCACAGTGAGATGAAAATGTACCCCGTACTACTTGGTTGCTGAAGCAGTTGCTCATTCTTTTGAAGAACTTCCTAAGGCTGTTTTCCTGGGAGACAGCACTAATTGAGTAGAAAGCACTGGGAACAGCCTGTAGACACTATTTCTTCTAAATAATTTCTCTTGGATGGATTGGCTTTGCCCTGTCTCTCACCTACCCTTTCTCAACCTTTTCCATTTTACTATGACATATGCAGAGTCAGCTAAAGGACATAAACTGTCTTTGCAGTCTAAGGAGGTTTTAAGGGATATGCTACATATAAATTAGTTATATGGACATGATCTTACATTGCTAAATTAGGTTAACTTAGCTGAAAGTATTAATAAGTCGATTCCATGCATTCTGTCTTGCGCCTCATTTATATCAGCTGATTTTGAGACCTATGTGAGTTGTTTTTAGCCGTGCTTTCTTTTTGCTGCAGGAATATAGCGATCAGTCCTATAGATCAAGAGGAAGGAAGACCCTTAAAACTGTTCCAAGGTCCACTCAGTTATATGATTTCAGTACTGCTCTATAAAAACCTCTAAAATCATCTCTCCTCTGTGCACGTCACAGAGCTAGCAGCCTGCTCAGATCCCCTGAGCTGGGCCAGCTTTCCACTATCTGATTCAGTAGTTTTCAAAGTGCGCTACCTGGGTCAGTAGCAGCAGTATCACCAAGAAGGAGGTGGCTTAGAAATGCAAATTCTCAGTTCCCATCCCAGATTTCCTGGTGTCAGAAATTTCCAGGTAGCAGGGCCCAGAACTTTGTACTTTATGACAATTTTGAAGCATACTCAAATTTGATGACCACTTGGCTAATTTCTGTCTGTGCTCTAGCATCTCCCTCCCTAATTTTACCTTCTTTGTGGGTTTGTCACACACCAGCCCTAGACACACCTTAACATCACACTCAGTTCTTAGTCAAAATCTCTTGATCACCCCTAGTGTGATTTCTAATAAAATTAAAATAGTATTAGATGTATCTTAAGGATTTATTCTTAATTCCAATTTACTCATTCATCTAAACCTGTGTTGGGTAAATGGCATACTTATGCTTGGCTCCTTGAGTGGGGTAAGAGACACAAAAAGGAGTTGGAGTATGTTACCTGCCTGTACACAGCAAGCATCCACCCCACTAGACTCCATCAAATACAACAAAACCCCCTTGTTTCATTAATCCATGTCTTTCCTTGACTGTTATAGTAACAGTGAAGACAGCTGATAGCAATAAGAAGATCTCACTGTCCACCGTTCTGAGAATAAAATCTATTTGATGGTGATTTTTACCCCATTCAGATTACCATATTATTTTCTTCATCTTAAAGAGTGTGAAATTCATAAAATGTTCATGCATATCTGAGAAGGGTGAAGAGGAAAGAAAGAGATATTTTAAGTAAAGTCTTGAAATAAAAGTAGGACAAGATATATAAATTTTAAAATCGTTCACTTCAAACAAGATGCAAAATAATTCATGGGGGAGAGACTCCAAGAAATAAAGTGATACGGGACAGAAACCTATGTTTAAAAAGTATATTTTTATAAGTACATTTTATAAGAAGATCTTGCAATGGGAACAGTTAAATGCCTTGTCTTTCTTAAGCTCTACTCTCCCTCCCTTCCACTTCCTCAGGAAAGGCAAATTTCTCAAAAATCAAGAACACCATGTGGGCTACAGGAAACCATGTCCCAACATCACAAAGGGTAGGACTCGATTCTCTTCTCTCCCTTTCTCACACCCTCAAGGATGAAAGGGGGAAATGTTGGAAAGATGGTATGGAAATTCCAAAGTTGCTTCTTTTCTTTTGCTATTACATTTGAGACTGACAAGCCCTGAAGCAGTGGAGATGTAAACTGGATATAACGTCTGTCTGGATCTCTAGTACTGAAAGAGCCTGAGCAAAACCCAAGACGAAGGAAATAAAGAACTGGTTGCCTGGAGTGGGAGAGGTGGAATGATGACATAGTTTTAGGGAGTCATAACCTTTACATAGATACGCATGAGACTGAAGGGCTAAATTGTTGGCACAGCAAAACATCTTTCTAGTTTCACCGTCTTCAAAAGATATTAGATGATTATGTCAAAATGTCTTAACAAATTATGATGGCAAATGGTCCACTGCTTACCGGAATGTATCCTTTAATATACTTAGTAGTGGAAGGGCAAAGGCAGATGTGGTTTTTCTCCCATGTCATCTTACTAGGAGAGAAAAAGATGGAAGGATTTATGATGAAGACCCTGTTCTAAAGTGGTACATGCCTAGTTTGCTGGTGTCCTGTGTTGGTTCGTGAAGAATCTAAGAATGGCAATTTGTACCTTCAGAAAGAAGATCCAGGTGAGGAGAATGAACGCCTATGCTATTACGACCAAGGCTCTTTAAATGCAACACCTTATGCGTTTCTTCTTAAAGATGAAGCACAAATAAACTTGGTAGATATGAAAGCAATGAAAAAGGGATTAAACATTTCAAATTTGCCTTATATCCATCAAAGCCCAAAGAAAGATCAGGCAGGCATTAACTGATTCTAAATACAAGAAGCTAACACTCTAAGCCTAGATAGCAGCCATTTTATCCCAGTTTTCACTGTCTAGTTCAGAAAACATGTGCTAGGCAAGGGAACCACCATTTCTCTTGGACTAAGACAAGAGCCTTGTAACTGTTCTTTCCCATCTGCTGACATTCACTTTCAACAACTTGCTTCCCAGGTTGCAGGCAGAATGATAAACTTAAAATCCATATCTGATCACACTAGCCTATAGTTTAAGCTCTTAAGAGACTTCAGATTGAGATGAAGTTCAAATCCTCAAATTGGCTTATCTAGTCTTTAATGATCCAATCAGAATCCTGAAAGACGTAAGATGATTAGTCTAGCTTGACTCACTTCCTCATCCTCTCTTTGAGCCACTGGCCTTGTTGATATTTCAGCTTTTTATAAACTTTCTGTTTCTCCAAATTGCCACTTCTCTGTGATGTTTAGGCCAGCTGGTATACTTTTCCTTCTGATCTCCTTTTAAATTTTTGCCCATAGCATTTACTATCTTCTAAATCCATATTATATATTTCTATGTTTATTATTTGTTTTCATTTCCTGGTAAGAGAGACAAGGGCAGGGAATCTTTGTTTTCCTTATTGATATTCCAAGGGTATAAAATAGTGTCTTATACACAATGGATGCTCAATAAGTATTTGTTAAGTGCATGAAAGAAATCCTTTCATTTCGATACTGTATCACATCTGTTCTCTTTTTGAGTGGGAGCTCCAAGAAAGCAGAGATCATATTTCTCCCATTTATTGCTCTGTCTCCCCCTACTAACAAAATATATGGCATATTTGATTGAATAAGAATCACAATGAGAAATAAAATTGACCTTACAACACCATACAATTATTTATTTATTTATCATTTTGCTGACAACACAAAGAGCACTTCTAGACTAACATAAGCACAGGACTTGGGAAAATGCTGGACTACTTCATGCAATCCAAAGTAGAGCAGAGAGCCATAGCTTAGAAAATGCACGGAATAGAACAACTTTGGGGCTTACAGCTGTAGAAATTTCTTGATCATTCCTCCAGACTTTTTTGTTACCATGTCCGGTAACGATTTTGTATGTATCACAGCTCAAGTGTAATGTTTTTAAGGAAGAGAAACGTTTTGCCTGTGTTGGGTTTAGTGTCTGTCCACTGATCATCGAGCTCCTTGGCCAGTGGGCTGAGGGAAACATTCTAAGAAGGGAGCCAAATTCAGTGGTTGTACTCCAGAGTCTATCTCAGAGATATGAGTAAGTTCAGTTGCATTTCAAAGCCAATATTCTCTCCCTATCCAACACTGATTTATCTTATTATTTTAATTTATTGATATGTAATATGTGAATTTACCTGCTTGCCAGGTTCTCAGCTTAGGATTCCCCTTCCTCTGCATCCAGAGTCTCTTATCTATTTCCAAATTTAACTTAGAAACTATTTTAAAAGCATTAATAAACACACTTATTAACATGTTCTTCTTGACAAACATATACTATTTATTTCCTATTTGTATTAGATATAACCATTGTTTAGAAGCTTCTGCACTCACTTATGGAAAATGTGGTTAGAAAAATAACATTGACCAACAAAGACTACTAGTTTTTTTATGGTTATGAGTACCCTTATTTCATTTAATATATTTCTGGCTTATTGGAAAGGTAAAGAGAATAGTGGGATCAATGGGAAAAGTATCAGAATCCAGAGGGTGTAAGGCGACAATAATAGAGAGAGTTTGGCTAAAAACACAAATTATGAAATGAACAAAAGTACATTTGGAAGAATGGCTGAAGCTAAACTTTGGGTATAGGTTTGTTACTGCTCATTTTATTCTCTCTCTTCTCTGTGTTTTCATTTGTCTGTTTTTTGAGACAGGGCTTCACTATGGAGCCCAAGCTGGCTCCAACTTGCAGAACTCCAGCCTCAGCCTCCCAGGTGCTG